ACTCTAGCTCTCTGCGGCGTACGGTGCCTTCCCGGCGGGACTACGCGCCCAGGCGAGGCCGGCCTTTAAGTCGTCCGAACGGCACGACAGGCTGGTAAAGCAGCTCGATACATTTGCAACTTATACAGGGAAGATGGTATAGGCAAGTCTACAGCACAGAAATGGCTTGCGAAATTCAGAAAGGGCGATTTTGACGTCGACCACTCGCTCGGCAACGGAAGATCGATGAGGAGCTTCAGAAAGCATGATGTACTGAGACGTGTTCGAATGAAAATGTGTGTAACGGGAAGCACCTTTGATGATGGTTATTATAGATGTATGTATTCGCATTCTATACATATATCTATTGTCTGTATCTACCATATACAGTAGCGCTGTATATGGATGTCTGTCTTCTGTCAAATGCTTCTTCACTCGTACTTTACAGTCGTAACTCCCTTCCTACCTGATCTAATCATGCGAAATTTCAATATGTGTAGCATGGGTGTACTGTGAATATTTATCACTATTAACCTGTAATCTAATTATGTTTAAGATATCCCAAAAAGCTCGAACCCAAAATCAACTGGGAATACAGACACGAGTCCTTCTAGGATTTCTTCCCTTCCTGCCATGCTCAAAGTGTACGAGCGCTAACGCCGAACATAGTGAAGGGGAAACACGCACATAAGGCGGGAGCAACTGCAAACGTCGCCAACATTGCTTTCAGCGAAGTATACTACCCCAAAAAACACCTTGCTCTAGTCATGTGGATATTGCTGCTTTGCAGTCAAATAGTGTTGATTAATGAGAAATATGCTTTAGTTGAAAATATCGAAATTTCGCGCCATCTGCTCTGTTAAGATAAAAGTTATGAACGAAAAAGCGTAAGAGCGTTTGACCGAAGACTTTTGAGCGTTACTGTTTATCTATCTATCTGTACCTATAATACTATAGATCGGCCGTCGTTATTTACGAACTTCGTTCACCTTTCGACCGATTTTTCGAAGCCTTTTCATCAAAAATCGCCATACGGCGGATTTGGAGAAGCTCTCGTTCAGGCTCTCGAAGTTCAGCTCTGACGATGTGCAATATGGAGCCCCACTTGGCCAGTTACGCCGACAATCGGTGGGTGAAGCAATGCACTCCATTGAACTTTGGAAGCGCCCAATGAGAAACTACTATTTTTTCCATAACAACGGGGTAATTAGTAATAGGGTATCGATTTCTATCACTGATCAGTGTTGTAAATACTTTTAAATCTGTGAGTATCGAGGAAGTAGTCGATTTACGAAATAAAGTGACGCTATTTTATCGATGTTTATAAATTTCTCAACCATCTTCTTATTAAAGGGAGCGGGGTGGCGTTGAACGCAGGATTCAAAGAAGGAAACTTTTATCACAAGGAAAGGCAGATCGTAAACAAGATAAGCCTGATGGAGGGGCAGTCGTTCTTCTTGCGGGTTATGTAAGTGCAAGAGCCGTGTGATAGATTAGAACATATGTCAAGTACGAAACGAAAATACCATTGAACTGCGTTTGAAAATGGTAAACGGTAAGGACGCAGGAATAAGTTCTTTCTAGAAGGACATTATCTATAATTAGAACAGGTTCAAAGACAAGGCAACGCTTAAGAGGGAGGCCAGTTCTACGGTTCTGAAAGATGTGTTTCTTTTACCAACCAAATTTCTACCTTTAAAGGCACAGTTCATGATAAAAATGGTTACTGAGTTCTCCCCCTAGGACCCGATGGCCCCTAAGGGTAACAGGAAGAACAGTAACGAGTCCCAAAACTCAGCAGCTAGAGCATAGTGGAAGCCCCGTTCCCGGATCGGAGTTCCCGCCCCTCGATCGATGTCACGTCAGACGTCAGAGTGTCGAGGCTATGCAGGGTGCAACATTCGCTCTAGGACCCACACTCAATCAGCTGATCGCCGAATAATGAGGCGATATTTTCTGCTATTCCTTTACTCACTGTTATTCTTTTTGCTGCTGCGATCCCTTATTTAATTTCCTTCCACAACAGGCCAAAAAAGGTGGGCTGTTTTTGCCGCCACTAAGGTTTTTTGTTAACTCATTCTTATGACTGAATGAATTTTTGCTTACAGTAGTCACCTATTCGCATCAGGACCGCAGTGGCACACACTGTATAGCTTGTCCGAAAGCCCCATTCCTATTCATTTCTCTGGTTTCATACTCATCGAGCCTCTTCAAAACGATATTTCGAAGCCTTTTTCACTTTATAAACACTGATTCACACAGTTTCTTCGCCATCATCACTTTATTTTCCTTCTTACCTTCCATTTTCGTCATAATTTGGATTGCCCAAAATTATCGTGAACTGTGCCTTGGTTATGGGTGCCGAATGATGATCTTCCCTACCGATGACGAGTCAGTTTACTCCACTCTACAAGATAGGTTAATGATTCTATTTCTACCGAACAGCATGACTTGGAATTGGTAAGTGGCAGTGGGCAATTAATAGGTCCAGCGATAAAGGAGCAGGCAAGAAACAAAAGCGAAACACAAAACTTATAACATTCAAAAGATGTTCATTTGGTTTGAGCATAGCATATTAAATTAAATTTGAATAAAAAAACGAGAGGTAAAGAAGTAAGTGGAGAGAGCATGGAATATTCCCGAATCTCTAAATAAAGATGATATGATGAGGACAGAAACTTCAAGAATCGTGGATTATCCTAGCTTAGAGACTGGTCTTGCATTCATACGTTCAATTTTCATTCAAAGATAAAAAAAANNAAAAAAAAACGATCAAGATCGTGGTGATCAGAATGGCAGAAGACCTAACGTGAGGAACCCTAGACGTGACGGGCGTGTCGTGGCTGAATGAGGCCAATGCACATAGGAAATGCTTGACTGAAGCGTTTTCCCTGGGGACCGTCGATTGCCCGCAGCAACGGGTGGATGGCCCTGGCTAGACTGGCTGTTCGAAGTCATCGAAAATGTCATTTAAAGCAAAACGAAGAGTTCCATGATGAACGACAATTCGCCAGCTGATGCGAATGGCTTTTCGAGTTCACCGCCGCTGGCAGCTCTGCCGCTATTTTACAAAAGCTAATATTATTTCTGAAAATTGATCCGATATGACTTATAATGATTTGACGTCTTTTGTTAACTGCCGCTGTTTTAACAACACCCTACATAGAGCGCGAAGACAAGCCAAGTAACATTCGACCTAGCGAACCTATTTCGCCCTGGGGGTCTGACAGTTGCACTCCAAGAACGAGTGGTGATGTATCAAAGTGAAAAATGCAAGTACGTTGGTTCAAATTCAACCAAAAACAAGCGGAGCTGCACTAAGGCCGACTGGTTCGACGGATAACCGGCCAGTTCAATAGTAATCACCTTAGCAGCTCTCCGCGGGACTCGTTAACAGGGGAGTCGTAAAGGAATCGGCAATGCAATGGACGCAATGCTTTCCGATCTAAAGTACTCGACCAAAATCTTTGTGGTTGGAAATGACGCCATGCCAAGTTCGTTTCGAGTATAGGGCTACTACCGGCGCCATTTCCATACTCGTGGACCCCGGGTATAATTTCACGTACACCTATTCCCATGGTGTAAGGCATGCCTATGTGGTCTTTTTGGCACCTCTTCCACTAACAATATCCTAGAACCTCTTCCTAGATTCTCGAATTTAGATTTAGATTGTCTGCACAACTTATCTGACAAGTCGGAGGAAGGCTTGATTGGTCAGGCTACGATATGCTAAAATCCTGCGACACCCCTCAAGTCACTGCACTAGGTCCTTTCCAGCTAGCGTGCATCTTCACGGACCAAAAATCCCCACCGTAACGGCCACGAAATTTGCCCACTCCCACACTATCATTGGCTCCTCTCCCATTCGCATTCCTTCGTGGGTACATTCTTCAGGAGACTACAATCAACCGAAAACTTTTCCTCTTCATACTATCTTCAACTTTGCAGATTCTTCAACATCAGTGCCCCTAAAAAGCGCGTCCAACACATACAACTCCATAAACGAGCAGCATCCTAAAAGGATTATGAAATTTACCGAAAAATTTTGTAGATTTATTACATGCAAAAATAAAAAGGTGCATATCAAACAATCAAGATAGAGATCAGTACCCATGTTTCAAAAACTCAACGTCCTTAACGTTTGTTGGACGCTAAACCATCAACAAGTCGTGAGAAAGTGAATCTACAGCAGTTGTTTTGTTAATGAGAAAGGAGGTTGAGAAATAAGTTGAGGTGATAAAACGAGGGGGTAGTAAGACTACAAAAAAGCGAGTAACCAATATTTCAGTAGCCCAATAAACTAGAAATCTGCATCAAGCTGGAACTGCCTCTCCTTTTCCGTGCTCAACACACCAGGACGCTGATACTCAGAAACCTGAAACTTTCCACATTTAATGTTTTAGCCAACTACACGAACTATAGATGAGAATGTGGATATGCACCTTTTTTTCGAAGAAATTAGTCTTTCCATCGATAGAAATGTTCTCCATGAAGTCGAAAGGATTCTTCGACTTGTAGATCTAAAAACGAATACAACTATCGACGATCCCTAGTCAGGTAAAACACAACACACCTTTTCGCAACCAAGCTCAACAAGCAGATGATCTGCGACGTACTCTATGTATTGACACATCAGGCGACAGTTCATTCCAATCATGTCTACTGGCAAAGATTCTGACAGGAATTCCTGTAAGGTTCCCAATTAAAGCACATATTAGAAAAATATGTTCAACCTTCGGCTATCAGCAAGTCTGACAGCATTACAAAAACCAAACTGTAGTGAAGCGTGAAAGCACACCTGTTCGATAGCGACAGCATCTCTAATGATGTAATAGATGCGTTCATGACTCAGCTTATTTTTGATATGCGAATACATCAGACATGCAAAATCGCGATGAAGTCCTTCATCCCTAAATGAGCTGTTTATTTAGAGGGTATTTTATGAAACATCTTAAATGTTTATAGGTATGCGAATGAGTACGAACATAGAACGGCCCAAAAAATTCCCAAGGGTCTTTTTTAAGCCGTTTCAAGTTGATTACGAAAAGACCTGTCATATAGGTTCAGCAAACTTACCTTGAAATGAGTTCGTTAGAATGAGTGAGACCAGGCATCAATCCCCTCTTCTTCAGCCAAAAAATGGAAGCGAAAGACCCAGAGAAAAATATTCCTGTAGACTCAACATGAAGCCACGAGAAGATTCAACACTATGATTGTCAAGCTACCTTCCACAGCAGCAAATGCTATGACTCGCTCAGCAAAAGGAGCTTTGTGGTCTGCAATCCATTTTAACGCCCATTCAGCCTTCTTTGCAATACAAGGGAACTCGAAAATTGCATTGAAAAGGATGTTCCTGAATATTTGGATTGCCCTCCATACTAGCTTTCTAGACATCATATATTTACCTTTCCTTCTCATCTCTGATATAGGTCTCAATAAGCTTACTATACATTTCAGAGTGAATATTTTCGATGGCAATTTGAAAACCGTAAAAGAATCGAGCCTCAGGAACTTGAACTTCTTTGGAAAAGCGTTCCACCTAAAGTGCGACAGTTTAGCTGGACGATTAACTTGAACTGATTCCAAATCTGTAAACTTGACCGCGTTTCAGTACTTCAAAACTACCAACCAAATTCTCATTGACTATACCATCAGAAGCGGCGAAAAAAGCAAGCACTCGCGATATGAAGAACCTTTCGTTATCAGTCATCTTCTCCCAGTCAGCCATGTCCTTGGCGAGATCGACCTATGAAAAGCGTAGTTATCCTGAGGAGGAAGCCTATGAATTCCTGACCTGCTTACCTCTTCCACAGTCCAAAATGACGCCACAGCTTTTTTATAGAAGGCCCAGATGTCATGGTACTTGATCGGGAAAATGACAAATCTATTCGGATTCTCCTTCAATAATGGCTCCTCTTCGTTAGTAGCATGTGATGACGACAGCTAAAAGTAGAGAGTGAACACAATGCCAATGCGTTCGCTATCCCACTCAACATTTTCTTGATGCGCTCTCGTCCATATTCCCAATGAGCTATGTCATCAGAAAACAACACAATAGTTGAAAACAACTTACTATTTGCATAGCCTGCGGAACTGCATCCCCCCCAGACTTTTGTGGAGCGGGCTCGTTAGTATCCTAAATTAAAAAAAGTGACCAACTGCACAACTAGGCTGACACAGCTGCTACTACATACCATATTTTCTTTGTTCTCATATATGACGTTCATTTGGGTTTCTCCAAGTGTCATAGTTCTTAATGTTATCAGCTTAACCTGCAATCAAAAGCCGTCGATAACAAGGATTCGAAACCACGACGACCCTATTCAGAGCGATGCTCCTTTTAAACCGGTCAAACGATAAAATAAACACAGGGTGGTTCTTCTTCAGAAATAAAAATTTAACGTCAGAGAAAATTAGATTAAATTTATGGTGTTTCACAGAGGAAGAAATCAGGAATCCAGGCAAGAGAAATCTGTAACCTATTCCAACCCAACTTTAGTTGACAAACTTCAAGAGGTTCTTTTGAAATTCCTCCGAAATAATACACCACTAGTACACTAATAGTACACAATAGTACAGCACTTCGGAATACAAGGCCATGAACAACAAAAACAAAAAAATTCCGCACATGGCTGCTTCCCTCTTCATCGAAAGCGAGAAAGAGGCAAAAGGAGAGGAAAAGCCATAGAACACAACCACAAGCTCGAAAGATTCTCTTGGGCGGAAAGAAATTGTTATAGTTCCCATGGGGCAAAGCTTGAACCGGATGGTTCTTCGAGTGCAACTATATTTGACACACAATAGATGTCCGCGAGAGTATAAGACTTAGAGGGAAAAACTAGATGGAATTGGAAATGATCCCAACAAATCCAACATCAAACTAACCTCCCACGGCAAATACGCGCCAATTCCCACGAAACAACTCATTGTGGCTTAACAATTAACTAACATTTACAATTAAGAAATAAGTTCCCGTCTAGTAAGACCTGCCATACAGCGCGGTGGCACGAAGGACAATGTCGGCGGCATCGCCCTCGACAGTGTCGATGACGAAATCGGCGCGGCGGTTTTCCCGCGCTCCCATTTAAGAGCGCCAATTCGAACAATTTGAATGTCTTCCCAACCAATGACGCACGACACGGACCGGGTGGGCGTTCACGTTGAGGGGTTTCATCGATGCAAAATGAAAGTTGTGGAAAACAAGTTGATGAGAGTAAACAAAGTGCAGATGCACTCAGCGCTGAACGATTTTCCGCCAAAGTAATGATAGTTGGTCCGTGTGATCTCTATGGTGTCGGAGTTCTGGATTCTCATACACCAAGTTCCGGCATAACTACGCTGACAAGCGACTATAAACTGACCTTCGACTCATCTGTACCTCAACTCAGAGAGTAAACGGGACCTCCTACCGCAGAAATACAAAGCTAAAAAGATAGGTGCAAAACAGCCGCGACTCAAGTTTGCACCATTTCTTTCAGCCAAAGGACTTCGCTTCAAGTTGGCTTAACTTCCGGTTCTGAATGATACATGTAGAGAATCTGCAGAACACGGAGGAGAACTCCGACATTGGTGCTTGTTCACAAAAGGACTGTTCTGTTGACCAGACTTGCTGTAGCAGACCGAAAACCTCTAAGTTGAAAAATTAAACTTGACTCTGCTCTAGTGGGTCAACTTTGCGTTTAACTTGGAGCAGTGAAACCCATCTCCCCTCAGGCTCACCCCTTGTGATTACAGCGCACTTCAATAGAAGAAACAAAGTAAAACGAATGCAATAATAGGTCTCCTTTTAAAACCGAAGTCTTGGGCATTGAGGTCCGGTGACGGATTCAAAACAAGAGGACGAAGCAGCACGAGCTCGATCCATCCGGAGCTGGAGCCCTACGAGTCTTTCGAAATCTCGTCGTCGAAAAAAAACTTATGTTGGCGGCTGCGTCGCGTGTTGATGCCAGAGCGCGACAACCCTTTGCATGAGGATAAAATTGGAAACAGGCTGACTTAGTATTTCTGCAGTAGCAACCATCTGCTCTACTATTACTCAAGGCCCTCAGTAGGCTTATTGATTGATTGAGACGGTTACACTTCGGTTGACTCGAGACATAGTCGAGTTTGCGGTGGAAACTAGGTAGGGCCGCTCCACTGAGCCCTGCATCTCAGAAACCAAGGACTACGGCGATAGAAGGACAGGCCGCAGGCCTTGTTGGCCTTGGTGGTGCTAAGAAACGATACTAATGCAGGAGGCAATTTTTTGCTGGAGCCTGAGAGAGCAGGAACATCTGGGTAGGCGAGGGCTGACCTGCTGGAAAAACCTAGGATGGAAAAAGAACCAACCACCACAATAGCCGCTTGTCGCAGAAATTGAATGGGGTTTGAGCGGGCAGTGTATGGGCAGGTTTCGATGTATTAGGTGACCTCGATGTAGGTGGACCGCAGAGAAGGGAGAGTAGCCGAGCCCGTAAGGGTGCCTAGGAACGTTTCATAGCTTTTTTATGTTACAACTGTGTGTTTTTCACCTAACTTTAAGAAGGGGAGGAGCTCCGGGGTGGGGACCAATTAGATGTTCAATTCTTATCTCATCACAATTTTTTTTGCATGAGATAATCATCTCACCCTCCCCGGAGCTTCTCCCCTTTTTAAAATTAGGTGAAAACAATATTTTTGGCTAAAAAACATCTCTAAAAACAGGTAAGGTCGCCTATACCTCAATCTTTGCGTTTTAGCCTTCGGTGATTCAAAAGGGGACTGGTCCCCCTCCCCTCCTCCCTTTCCCCTCTCCTCCAACTACATTTTCACCAGAAGGGGTTGTACGAGATTATGATGGCGGTATTGGCATGGAAGGATATTTGGCGAGATTAATGTCAGCCACAGTACGCAGAAGGGCCATTCGCCTCCCAATGTCCCCTAGGTCTTGACTCGTTTGATGTCCAACATCTGCGCTCCCCCGTAATTGATGCCTTCAAGGCTTTTACAAGAGAACCACTTTAAGATGGAGACTTAGGTCACGCTGTTTATTGAGCGCTTTTTGCGCCCTGCCTGGGATGTTTTTCGACTCAACAACACTCAATAAGGCGTCTTTGGAGGCCAAAGGCTCGATGTCATTGGAAATCTCCAGAGCCATCTTTATCATGAACGGTGCTTTTAACAGTTAGGTGACTGAAGTTAATGATTAGTTACGGAATCGTGATAGCATTTGCTAACTACTGATAAGTAGGGTCGGTGTGTCAGAAGCACTACATCCAATATGCCCTACGTATTATATTATCAATAAACTTTTGGCAGTTTTGTGAGCGATGCAGTGTGTGGCGGGATCAAAATTGGTTGGCACTAGAACAACTAATTGATAACGTCTAATATTGGCCGAAGACGGCATGACCCACTAGTTCCGCTCTGCCCTTTCTGTAATAGTTAAGCCCCGACACAATTCAGAAGCCCTTTTCTCTTTACATTCGTTGTGCAAGTTGAGTGTTCTTCATCTGTGACTTATGCCTCGGTCAAAATGTGTTATTTTTGGTTTTTTTTGTTTATGATTTCCTTTACGGTTCTCTATCCTTTTTTTCTTTGGTATGTAATGAAGTTAAAGGCGCAGTTCACGATGAAAAATGGTCTCTGAAATTTCTCCATAGGATGAATTCGAGGCCCTCCTGGTACCTATGTGCCCAAGTTAGGCCGTGAAACGTTCTGAATAGGGCACAAAAAGGGGCCAGACGTTGTATCGTGTGAATGCCACACCCACAGCCGACGAGCCATAGAAGCTCCACTATCTTAAGGAACTCTCATGCTGGAAGTTCAAACGAATTGTCATGACCTATGGCGACAGTGTAAGGCAGTTACAGACAATTTTAGCTTGATGTGGTCAGCTCTTGTAACAACTGAAAGTCAGCAATTGTAACAACTATAACCTCATCCGAATACCACTTCATGCCGTTTCCGCCATGGTAATCTCGTACAAACTCTATTTCCATTACTTTTGGGAAGCCTGATTTTTTGCGGAGTAGGCGGTTTCTCTCGTTTTCTTCGCCACCGATGCACTTCTCTACATCAACACCCCTTTCAGCTTGAAATTGGAACCTCAAAATTATCGTGAACTGTCCCTTCAAGTTGACATTGACATCGGCTCACTTGTCGTGTTTGTAAGACCATACAGTTGTGATCTTTCGAGTACTCAAAGCTCATCGCACTAATTACTGCGTGCGAAAAAAACTCTTCATTGCTGTTGATATTACCCATACACAATACGATTTTTCTCATTTTTCTCAAACGACTCTTTTCTTCATTTTCTTTTTCACTCGTCTTTTTTCACGTTTTCCGTTCATTTCTTCACAATGCATATTTGATCAGCTGAAGATGAGCTTATTCTTCCCAGCACAGCTGAAGCTTATTCTTCCCAGCATTCGTTATCAGCGGAAAGCAGGGCGGATCTTTTTTTTACGTTCGACAGACATTTTTCGGGTGCGATGACTTGGGTCGTTTCAATTCGAATTTCTTCGTAGAATTTCCGGACAGATTACGTAGACTTTACGTTCAAGACCCTACGTACACGGATGACGAGTAGCGAATTCAGAGGAGTTTTTTGAGAAAATTAGAAGCTTCAATTCTACACTGGCAATGGCGTCAATGGGAGCGCAAATTGACACCATAGGCACGTGGGCCGTACTGCTACAGAATATATGGCCAAATTTACCACCGGATAGGAACCCTCCATCCGAGAGAAGGAGAGCAACGTCACTATGGACAGATCTATATTCTGGATCCACCAGTGGCTGCTGGCCAACGTCTTGAAGACCCAAGAAATGTGGATTGTGACCCAGATTTGATGCGTTCTCTAAGCGAGCTGCTGTCGGAAGTCAACGTCTATGCACAGTCTTTCAGGATTATGAGTGAAATCAAACAGGCCGAAACTGCGGTCGCAACAAGAGAAAATCGTACTCTCAATATCCGGATAATATTTGAGAGGAACAGTGAGAGCGGACTGAGGCGCCGCCAGTACGACCTGCCGACGGCCAGTGAAGTCGCAATTATAAATGTGGGGGAGAACGATGACGTGCCGCCTACGAGGTGTTTAGCAGTTCATCTTCGGAATGTCTCTGGAGAACAACTCCAGAATATACGTGATATTGACAAGATATGCGATCCTCTTACGTACCCTCTTCTCTTTCCTACTGGAGATGGCTGATGGGAGCCATCCATGACTGAAAATGGTATTCGGCTTTCACAACGAGAGTACTATGCGTCTCTATCATCAGTGTGAGAC